AGAAAGGGCAACCAAGATGAAAACCGCAGTGTTTTATGTAACCTAATCCTGGAAGTGACATACTATCATTTCTGCTGTATGCTATTGGTCACACAGACCAACCTGGTACAGCGTGGAGACTACAGAAGAGTGTGAGTACCAGGAGGTGGGAATATGGGGGCCATCTCGGAAACTGACATTTATTAAGCTCTTGCTTCATGCTCCTTGCTTTTCAGGTGCCAGGACTACCTAGGCAATTTACATGCGCCATCTCACTTAATGTTTCAAGAGTCGATGGATGGGTTTCAAATTGATGATGAGGAGGTAGACGGGAGTTGAAGACCTGGCGAAAAAGTATCAGTAGAGCTTTAAGCATTCGGTATAGCAAAATATCTGGAAACTTGACTGGATCAGTCTGGAAGGAACATTAATGTAGAAGCTAGGTGCAGAATGCATCAGAACAGTGAGGATATTGGAAACAGGAAAAATGGGCAGGAATTGATTATAATCCATTCAGATGTTAGGTAATAAGAATCTAGGCCTGAGACAATGGCAGTGAGAATGCAATGGCACTGAGGATGGTGATGAGAAAAGATGACAGACTGGATTAGGAGGCAGAGGACAAAGAAGATTCGAAGATGAGGTTTCAGTTGGGGTGAAGTTGAGAATACCTTGTGCCCATTAAACAAAATAGACAAGTGAGACTTTGGTGATGGCGGAAGATTAAGAGGGAAGAGTACGAGGAGACACAGATGACAACAGGGTGTGTAGATGAGAATGTCCATCAGGATAGGGCCATATTTAGAAGTTATGTCAAGAATTCTGTCATCTACCTACCTACCTGTCTATTATCTACCTATGTATCTATCCATCATCCATCTATCCATATATGTACGGCAAACAGGGAAGACTGGACTTTCATTAATTCAGCATTTTCAAGTGCCTAGTTCGTGTCACCGTACCATGGTTTGTGGATACAAAAACGAACCAAGATATGTTCCTTGCTCTTAATGAACTCAAAGTCCATAGTACAAGACAGACACATAAATGGATTTGGCAGGATGATATTCTGATGTAGAAACTGAGGTGGATTGTTTTCTCCTTTGTTCATAGTAAGACAGCAACAAGGGTAGGAATAACACAGCAGAGAAGAAATGCAAATTTTCGGCTTTTAAATCCAAAATAGATTCTTAAAAATTCACAGTCCACAGTCTTGCAGGAGCTTTGGCCTTTTGAATATCAAAAATCAAATTTTACACCAAAAACAATACATGATCATTTAAGGGCCAATTCCACGGCCCCATATGAGCAAGTGTTCAACTGGTTGGAAGAAGAGAAAACAGGCTCAAAGAGAAGAGAGCTGAGAAGGGGCTCCCTGCTCTGGACCCAGGGCTGAGTTCTCAGATAGGTATGGGGTAGAGCTAGGCTTGGATTTTCGAGAATAGAAGCCGTTCAACTTTCCACAAGGAGCGGCTGGTGGATTCAAACGAGGGACCTTTTCGTTATCAGCCATAGCTCTTAACCACTGTGCTACCAGGGCTCCATACTTACCATATGGACAAATGTAATGCAGCGTGACAAAGGCAGATTGACCCTTGGGTGCTATGTGAGGACAAGCAGAGGTCTCCTACCCAGTCAGGTGAGCGAGGAGTCATGTCTGAGCAATGTTGAGGGATGAAGGATAATAGCAAGTACGAAAGTAAATGGAACCACAGATAAATTCCTAATGGCTGGAGTTCAGGGAGTGATAAAAATGAGGCTGCAATGGGAAGTGTGATGAGGTGTGTCGGTCAAGCTGAAGACCGCAAGCCCTTCACACACATGCCATGAGGTGGAGGAGGGGAGGCGGTGACCAAGCTTTCCCTTCAGAACCACCATTCTGGCTGCAAAGTAACTAGGGACTGGGGAGTGGCTGCCTGTGGGAGACTGCTCCAGCTTTTCCTTCTCTCTCGTCTTGTCTTTGTTACTGATAACACATTGCCCCGAATCATCACAAAACCCGCAGTGCACAACGAGAAAAGAGGAAGGCAGCCCTTTCCAGGTTTTATGTCATTCGGCTAAGCGTCTAGGAATGGGTGTGTGGGAAGTGAAAGTTACTGTTTAGTGTCAAAACTGGTGGAGTTTTAATAGCCTGAGTCTTGTAATGGAAACCAGAAAAAACTGGTGTAATACTTAGCACACAGAAATGTCTCCTACACACATAGGCACACACATAATATGCTTCAGCTCAACGTTACCGAGAGTGAGCGTTAAAAGAAACCGAGGCGTTTTTATCTACATAACATTGACTTACAAACGACTTGCTCTGCTGTCTGCAGCTCATCCTTGGACTGAGGTGGGCAGCGGTGCCCTTGGCAGCCGAGTTCTGAGGGGAGGCTTTGGGAGGTGTTCCTGGAAGCTCTTCTGGCTGTTTTCAGTCCTCTCAATGACTCTGGGAGCCATATGATACCCAATAATAACTCCCCTTCTACAAGCTAGAGTGGATTTTGCTTTGTATACACTGACTGAAATGGGTCAAATAAGTTCTTTTGAAAAAAGATCAAATATATGGTTAAGGTAACAGACTCTAAAGGCAGACTGCATTCCAGTCTGAACTCTAGTGGTGGAACTTTACTGCTACTTGACCTTAGACAAGCTTCACTGTTTTGTGCTTTAGTTTCCTTATCTATAAAATGATGATGATGATATTATTATTAATAATACCTACTTCATAGGGTGGTGTGGCAATTAAATAAAATATGTAAAGTGCTTATAACAGTGGCTGAAACAGTAATTGCTCAATAAATGTTTGGTTTTATAACATTAAAATATACAATTTAATTATATAACACCAACCAAATTAATTAAAAATTCATTGATAACTTCTCAAAAATTCTCAAGGACAAATACACTTAAACTAGTATAAAATTCTGCTAGCAAAACAAAAGCAAACTAAAATTGCTATCACAAAATAACCTGGAACTTTGGCTGTTTCACACTTATCCAAGCATAGTTTTCTTGAAGCGGAGGATATGAAACATGCAATTTGCCACTACATTTCTTTTCTCTAATACAAGTGGGGTAGCTTTGCTTTTACCTGTGTTTCAAAATGGACTTCCTTGTGAGAATTTTTGAGAAGGAACGGTGCTCCGGTGAACAAGAATTGAAAACTAGCAGTGTAAGCAGAAAGAACACAAGTCTTAGATTACAGAGATGCTGAGCAGGCTGAGGGTTACATTCAATAACAAGAAAAGAACCTTCTAGTTCTAAATATTGAAGACCAACAGAGAAAGCCTATTGTTTGCCAGAGAATATTCTTTTCAACTCCAATTCAAAGAGGCTCAATGTGCATCTTAAAGGGATCAGGAGCCTCCCAATCCCATGTGACCCTGACTCAGCATCTCTACATTTTTGGTCTCTTCATTTGTAAAACAAGGGGAATAAAACCTCCTTCCTGGGGAGGTGAGAATTAAATGAGATGTTGCTCATGTAAAGTTCACGTGAAGTTTGGTAGTTGATATGTGCTCAGTACACAGCAGCCATCCTGTCCTCCACCCGGAAAGACACATAAAACTGCAATTACTCCCATTTTTGGGACTGAGGTAGGAGCCCTTGTGGTGCAATGGTTTAAGCACTTGGCCGCTAACCAAAAGCTCAGCAGTTTGAACCCCCCAGCAGCTCCAAGGGAGAAAGATGTGGCAGTCTGCTTCGGTAAAGATCACAGTCTTGGTAACCCTATGGGGCAGTTCTACTCTGTCCTATAGGGTCCCTATGAGTCGAAATGGACTTGAGGGGAATGGATTTGGTTGCTTTGGGAAGGGACTAAGCACCGGAACAATGAGTATGTGTTTTCACACTTTTACACACGTTGTTTTTCTTATTAGCTGTCACTGAGTAAGCCCTCGACTCACGGTGACCCCAAACATAACAGAAGGAAATGCTGTCAGGTCCTGCGCCATCCCCCTAGGGTCTTCACTGGCTGATTTTTAGAAGCAGATCACCAGGCCTTTCTTCCTAGTCCCTCTTAGTCTAGAAGCTCCGCTGAAACCTATTCAGCACCATAGCAGCATGCAAGTCTCCACTGACAGGTAATGGCTGCACGTGAGGTGCACTTGTTGGAACTGAGCTCGGCTCTCCCACCTGGAAGGTGAGAATCTACCAATGAGCCACCAACGGCCTCCTTTACACACATCAGAAGATGACGATACATCTGAAGACAGACGAAGCTCATAACTACAAGACACCATGACAAGTTTGAAGTCTCTCCTAGATCTGTTCTGTGTGCAAGAGTGAAGGAGGCACCATGGACGCTAAAGAAAACCCTGTTAGGCCATCCTTTGGCATTAGGCAGTCCCACTTATCTGGAGAATCCCTCTCAGATTTTACAGTCACTCATTTATTCCCTCCTATCAAAAACTAACAAACTACCTCAGGGACTACAGTGCTGAAACTCTCTTTTATTCCTCATGAGGGCACCAGACGCTGTTGATGCAGTTAGTTAACCCAATGAAAGGGAGTCTTTTACAGTGAGAAGAGTTAATGTTTATTCAATCTACAAACACCAAATGCCCGCCTGGGCCAAACACTGTGCTCATCATCTAGACACACAGGACGTGTGGTTAGTAAACGTAAAGCTCCACAACATCAGACTGCTAATGCTTCCCAGACATTATTAAACGGGCAACCATTTGCATAATGTTTCATTAAATGCCCATTAAGAAGATAACGGCTGTGGATGATATATAAAAAAAGCCAAGCCCACCCGAAGCCCACTTTTCAGACAAAGATTAGATAGGTTTATAAAACAAACAATAACACATGTGAAGAATGTGCTTCTTAGTTCAGTCAGATATACAAGACCAAATGGGTAACTCCTGCCCAAAAGCAAAGACAACAAAGCAGGAAGGGACAGGAAAACTAGACACACAGACACGGGAAACCTGGGGTGGAAAGGGGGAGAGTGCTGTCACAGCATGGGGATTGCAATCAATGTCACACAACAGTATGTGTATAAATTTTTGAATTAGAAACTAACTTGAGCTGTAAACTTTCACCTAAAGCATAATAATAATAATAGAAAAATAATGGAATAAAAAATAAAGGGGGGAAAAAAAAAGTCAAGCCCAGGACGTAAGGATTGTCAGCAGAGTGGACAGGGAGGAGCTTGCTGGTGACAGAGAAACGCACAGTCAGCGATGAGCACAGCCAGCTGGGGAGGAGTCTCTGCAGCCCACTCATGGTGGAACGGTTTTACGAGGGTCTGAAAAATTCCTTTCTAACTTCCAGACTTATGTTTCCATACTAAATAAACAATGAGCCAAACCAATAAATGATGAAATAATGACTGTCAACCCAAATATTTCCAGGCATGGGGGAGCCCCCACTTCTTTATCCACTGCAAAGAGAAACCTCTAGTCGACCGGCGTAGACAAGAAATTTTTTTTTTTCCCAACTCAATGGCAACGGGTTTAGGTTTTTTGGTTTTATAACATAAACATGTACAAATGTCTTAACAGCACTGGTGTCAACAAAAGCTTCGGTCGTTGCAAAAACAGAGTCTTAAAAAGAGTGGTGAGGATGAGATGGACAAGCCGAACCGAGCTATTTTTTCATCTCCAAAATTGCACTTCCTGGTCCACGGCTCTTAGCACTGCAGATGTTGCAAAACTGTGCAGGAGAGTTCTAAATATGTAATAAAAAAAAATCACAGATTAAAAACAAAATAAAATAAAGAAAACATGACCCTCTCTCTCCACTCTAATATTCAGAAATATTCCAGTAGTGTTAGTCGTTGGGTGTGGAGGAAGCTATGAAAGGCCACTCCTTTTTCTGGAGATGATTTCTGGTTCACATTAGGTAAAGCCCAGCTGTTGTTCTGTGACTCATAGGACACTCTACAGCAAAATAAGTCTAATAGGACCTGGGGGAGCAGGTCTTGTCACTAAAGAATAATAGCATCATGATACTAAAATCGGGTTAAGAAAGTTACACAAAATAATTCTCTACTGTATCTCACATCTAGACAGCTTAACAGTCGTCAATTTCACTTGAATGAATAAATTATTATGCTTTTATAATGTTTATATAGTATACCAAATATTTTTACATTGGATAAATAGATAAATTAATTTTTCTTAAACAAGATGTAGAACTCTATTATAACTTTGAGAACCCACAGTGCTGTAAGGATGACGGGCTGTGATTTTGAGCACATCCCTCTGAGTGCATCAGTTTCTCTTTAGCTGATAGGGGCCAAGCTGTCCACTCACCATGCTAGGTACGGGCAGGCACTCCTTGTGGAACATATGCCGGCAATGGAAGATCACCATGCTGAAGGGCTTAGCTGCGTCTGGGGTGGAGGGGAGATGGAGCAAGGGAAAAAACTCAATGCAAAAGCAGACCAGGAGCTCTTTTACCAGTCCTGAGGGAAAAGCCTACCATAGTCTGATCTTCCAGCAATACTTAAACTGCCTTTGGAAAAGCATTACAGGAAGCGTTCCCGAAGGTGGTACAATCAAATGAAAAGCTGACGAGCAACTTTGTTGCTCTGTGTTCAGAGGTGACTTGCTTAATCTTTGTCTCAGTTACCAGAACTAAAAATGGGGACAGGTCTGCAGCAAACGCAACAAATTTTATCTTTAAAAATTAGAATCACTGTATTGTATGTGCATTGTGTGCACCCACCCATCTACACACACACGTACAATGCACCATACTACTAATGCTGCTGTCAGTTTTGTGGCCTCATAAAAATGCTTTCTGCTTCTTCACCCATTGCCTCTGCCAAGGACATTTACTGATTTCAGATCTGCTACATTCTGGCTGTGACCTTGCACTTTACTGCATCTCTGCTTGGGCACTTCACCTCATCTGCTCCAACTCTGTGTGGTCAGCTTTTTGGATCTGGTATCCTTAGGTAAATAAATTGGAATTTCATCTAATTGTACACTGTTGCTGAGCGCTGTTGAGTTGACTTCGACTCATAGCGACCCCATGTGACCGAGCAGAACTGCCCTGCAGGGTTTTCTAGGCTGTGATCTTTATGGGAGCAGACTGCCAGGCTTTTTGCCTCGTGGAGCCATTGGGTGGGTTTGAACCACTAACCTTTTGGTTAGCAGCCAAGTGCTTAACCATCTGTGACACCAGGGCTCCTTTCTAAGTGTATACAGGAGGGATATGTAGTCTCTTCTTGTTAAAACAATGCTTCAAAAACTATAAACACTATTTTTCCTGTATCCCATTATAGTTCTTAACATAAACCAAAAAACAAAACAAAACCAAAACCCCCCCACAAATCTGTTGTCCTCGAGTCGATCCAAACCTATTTCATCTAGAAAAGAATCTATGGAAAACTACTCATCATCCTACTGCCCTATGAAATAATCCGTAATTATAACTAACAGTGGGGCCTCTAGGTCTTGTAGTGCTGAATTTACATTAAAAAAGCAGTTTCAGCATCCCAACAACTATGCTTTGCTAATTTCTAATTTAAAATTACGTGATCTTCCTCTTTTCATGCCATAATCACTTTTAGGTAAAGTGCATTTGATTATATATGAAGATACACACACAGCCCCTCCCCCATATACACCAAGAACTATAAATGAACAAATGCTTATTTCTTAGAGTCATAGTCCCAATTAGATGGCAAGTATTATGTTTGCCCTGAAATGTGAGATAACTTGGGTGCCTAAAACCAAAGCAAAGATAAAGTTTAAAGAAAAGGGAAAACTATAAAAAATGTTTCCTAGATACACACAGGAAACATTTTCCCAGGTATATACAGGAAACCCTGGTGGCATACTGGTTAAGAGCCATGGCTGCTAACCTAAAGGTCAGCAGGTCAAATCCACCAGGCACTCCTTGGAAACTCTATGGGGCAGTTCTACTCTGTCCTATTAGGTCGCTATGAGTCAGAATCGACTCAATGGCAATGGGTTTGGTTTTTTTTTTTTTTTAGGTAGACACATGGTTCTTAAACTTTGGAGTTTGAACAATGTTGATAGAAAGTTTTCATTTTGCTTTACTCTAGAGCAGTGGTTCTCAAAGTGTGGCCTGGGGCCAGAAGCACTGACATCCCCTGGAAACTTGTTAGAAATGCAAGTTCTCAGGCTCCACCCCAGAACTACTAGATCAGAGACTCTGGGGGTAGGGCCTAGTGATCAGTGTTTTTAAAAGCCCTGCAGGAAGTGCCGACTTACCCCGAAGCTTGAGAACCTCCGCTCTCAAGAATGGCATAACCAGCATCAGAGTTAGGATTATGCACCAACATTTTTCTTTAAACTGTGTAATACCAAACATTAAATAATTTTATAAATAGTAATCAGTTAATTTCAAAATTTTTAATTATATCCATCATTAATACATATTTGAGAAATATTTTTAACTTTCAACCATCTTACCTGATGGAAGAATAGGGGACAGGCAGGATTCACAGATGTTCTCCTCTGCAGGAAAACAGATGCACTTTGGATTATAATGTTTCTATTTGCATCTCCAGCCTCTCAAAGCAGGGCATATAGTTTGAATATGAGTGTTTCAATTTTACCCACCATCCACCAGAATGCCTTTCATTTGAGTTCGGTGCATTTTCTTCAGCAAGGACAAGGAGTCAGCTACCAGAATCTTCTTGCAGCCTTCACGAAGTAGAATCTAGTGCACACATTATAAAGAAAAGACAACTTTAAAACATTCAATAATGGGGAAAAGAAAACACAACTCTTATCAGGAATTCTGAAAAGTGGTGTGTTTGAAATACTTCTGAGAAGCTCTTACTGGTCCCGCTCTTCCCTCCAAACCACTGCCAGTCGGACCTTTCTAGACACTGATTCAATCTTCAGTCTCTGCTTTTTTTATGAACATTCAGTGGCTCCTGTAATGTTGGTAAAATCAGATACAAATTCCATACTCTGGCAAAGGCGGCTCTATTTTTACCAATTGCTATCTCACAGAGCTTCCTAATACGGATTCTCTTTGGCAGTTTGGCTCCATTATGCCTGGCTCATTACAAACTCCAGATCTTTGCCCGTGATGGAAGACCTGCTATTCCAAAATCAACTATTTCACAGATACATCTGTTTACCGCATAAATACGTACTGGTTCCCTATCATGTCCCAGGCACTGGGTATGGAGCAATAAACTAAACAGATGAGATCTTTGTCCTAAATCCCCTTCAGAAGATAAATGCCACTTATCTTCTAGTTTACTTCTAAATCTAATCCAAACTACTTTGCAGAGTGCTATGAACACAGTGTGTTAAGTGCTCATTGAATAAATTAGCCCTCAAACCTGATGACTCTTGGGGCTGATAACTGAAAAATGGCCACAGATATTAATGTTCCATCACAAGATTCATTTTGTTATTCTTCATCTCAGTATTGAACTTTTCATTTCCTTAGGCATTTTTTGCTCTTTCTTTGTAGGTTTTTTAGTTTTTTTCCCTGCCTGCCTGGATGGCAACGAGAGGAGGTCAGAACACTCTAGCAGCCACAGAAGTCAAGAGCTCACAGTGAAGGGATGACGGCCCACTTCCGGTGGCGTGACTTTGTGTTTCAGAACCAGGCAGATGGCAGACTCAGAAATTGCCTACCCTACTTCTAGCCAGTGGGCACAGCTGGGAGAGGCAATTATTTTACCTTCAAACCAATTCTGTTGTCCACGGTGTGAGTTTTCACCCTTTTCTGGGCTTTCTTGGATATTTTAGTAGGAGACTGAGAGACGCTGTCTGAGGTGTCCTTAAACTGGATGTCACTTTACATAGGAACTTGTTGCTGCTTTTGAAGCCAGGGAAACACTCAAGGCCTGAAGGACCAGGAGGTCCTGGTGCTACGCCTGCAGCTTTCCTCTTCTGGCCCCATGTGTCTATGAGTCAGAATCTACTTGATGCCAACAGGTTTGGTTGTTCTTTTTTTTTGGTTTTATATATAATTTACAGAGACAGTCACACAGTGAAGATATCGCTGCCTCACTGTGGCCCAGCTCTGTGGCTGGGGATGAGAGTCCTGAGAAGTATACGTCCTTAGTGGGCTGTGGTGATGTCAAGTGCTACGGTCAGCAGTGCACTTTGGCTTTCTTCATACCGACATCACTCTCAACTCCAAGACCTATATGGTGTTTTTGCTTTTATAGGGTTTTAAATACATGCCACAGGGGAACGGAAGACGGGGAATAGGCAACTGTGTTCTTCCATCCCCAATCATCTCAGTCACCGTGTTCCTCCCAAATCCTAAACAGTATTGTCTTAGGGTGAATGCATCCAGAGGCCTCCCCCTTCCCCAATTATATGAGGACAAAAATTCAGGGAAACAGGACTGATGCCTGGACTTGAATTTTATATTTGGCACTTAGAGTATGCATGAGCAAGAAATTACGTGATTTTACTATTTCTAGATTCATTTAGAAATCTGACTAATGAGAAGTCTTTGTTTAAAATTCTACTGCCCTGAGATAATTTTTAAACCTTAAAACAAAAATATTCCCTGAAGTCTTCTTAAAACCAAACAATAAAGAATGTCTGCCTTGAGCGCTGCGCTCTTTTAAGAACCATCTACACAGGATCAAACTGACAACAGCAACTTGAAAGATCAGATAGGAGACTTAGGGGGCAGTGAGTTTATGTTAATGAGGGAGGAACAATTCCCAAAAGGAGAGTGAAAATGCTTGTACAACAAGAACATAATTAATGTCACTGATTTGAATGTGTAGAAATTGTTGAATTGGTGTTAATAAATTATTAAATAATTATTAAATTATTAAATAAATTATTAAAAAATCTACTGAAAATTGGATTTTCAGATTCATTTTAAAAAGACATTAAAAATTTAGCAGGCACAGCATTTTGCTGCAACAATACTTTGACAATGGCTTAAAAATCAGCTTGCTAGACTTGAAAGTGGGAACTCAAACTGATACTTGTACACTCATGTTCATTGCAGCATTATTCATAATAGCCATAAAGGTGAAAACAACCCAAGTGTCCATCAACAGGTGGACGGATAAACTAAATGTGGTCCATATATACAATGGCATTCAGCCATAAAGAGAAATGATGTCCTGATACATGCTACAACATGGATGAACCTTGGAAACATTATACTGAGTGAAATGTCAGACCTAAAAGGACAACTATTATATGATCCCATTGACATAGAATATCTAGAATAGGCAAATGCATACAGACTAAAGTTTATTAGTGGTTAGCAGGCGTGGGTGGCAGGGGAAAATTGGGAGTTACTGCTGAAGGGGTACTGAGTTTTTGTTTGGGGTGATGAAAAACTTGAAAATGGATTGTGGTGGTAGTTGCACAATACGGTGAATGTAATTAATCTCACTAATTTACACACATAAAAATGGTTGAAATGGCAAATGTTTCCTCATATATACACACACACACACACACACACACACACACACAGTACCACACACACAAAAAATCAATTAAACTATGGTGACGTTTGCACAAAACCTTGGGAATACACTAAAAACCAGTAAACTGTACATTTTAAATGTGTGAAGTATATGGTATGTGAATTATATCTCAATAAAGCTGTTTACAAAGAAAAGAAGAAAAAATTTAACAGACGTCATTAAAAACAGAAGACAAAAATGACAAACACAGTAAGAAAAATATCTAGGAAGTACCGATGTCAGTAAACCTTAAGAATATACATAAGCAAATATATCAAGCTGCTCTGCCTCCAACATGAAAATAAAAAACCTTAAGAAACATAGTGTCAATCCCAGTATCTCTGGTAAAATGCTTCAAACAGTGCCGGCTCTGATCCTCCGTGGGTGCTGAAGGCCCACAGCATGAGTAATACAGGAGGAGGACAAGCCGTCTGGACAGAAGCCACTGAGACTGCAAACTAAAAACGAAAACAGTAAAAAAATGCAAACTAAGAAAAAAACATCTTCTCAGCAGGAGTTCATTTTTCTAAATAGGTACAATCCATCTGCCTGCAGAAAGTATTTTCTAGGAAAAATTTCAGTATTCAGAGGCAAACAGCCAGGAGAAGCAACAGCATACACATATAGTTTACTATGCCACTTTCTACTTCATCAAAGTCCAAGGCTCCAAATCAGAAAACTACGGTAAAATTCCAATACTTCCAATTTACATGATGCCAGGCAGGTATATAAGGAAAACGAGACTATTCCTTGCAGAAAATAATCACTTCATCTGTAACATATATAATAATTTCAAGGCAATCAACAGGAGGAAGTGAAAGAGGGCTGTACAGATTCTTATGTAGTGCTGCATTATACAGGTACTGATTTCAACATCCGACTTATGACAAGGCATTGTCTTGATTATAGATCCCCAGTAGCAACTACACCAGTGACTCATGAAAAAAATGTGCCTACTGTTAACACTAATTTCATTCCTGACTTCAAAAATTTCCTGTTTGCTATTTCCCATGAATTCCTTTATTAAGACACTGATGACTGAAAGTCCGATGCCGGGTGTCATGGATTGAATTGTGTCCCCCAAAAATATCTGTCAACGTGGCTGGGCCATGACTTCCAGTATTGTGTGACTGTCCACCATTTTGTCATCTGATGTGATTTTCCGATGTGTTGTAAATCCTATCTCTATGATGTTAATGAGATGGGATTAGTGGCAGTTATGTTAATGCGGTGGGACTCAATCTACAAGATTACATTGTGTTTTAAGCCAATCTTTTTTGAGATATAAAAGACAGAAGCGAGCAGAGAGACAGGGGGACCTCATACCACCAAGAAAGCAAGGCTAGGAGCAGAGTACGTCCTTTGGACCCAGGGTTCCTGTGCTGAGAAGCTCCCAGACCAAGGGAAAGGCTGATGACAAGGGCCTTCCTCCAGAGCTGACAGAGGGAGAAAGCCTTCCCCTGGAGCTAGCACTCTGAATTTGGACTTGTAGCCTACTAACTAGACTGTGAGAGAATAAATTTCTCTTTGTTAAAGCCATTCACTTGTATTTCTGTGATAGCAACACTAGATACCTAAGACACCGTGGAAGTTTGCTAAGGAGGTCATCTTCACTCCCTTCTGACCACTTCTGTCCTTCTAGGTCATCTTACCTGGCCTGTTTTCCTAGCTGCGGACTCTCACCTTCCAACAGTCTCTTTTCTATCTTTGGAAATTTGATGTTATTTACACACTGAGGACGTGTGCTTAACAACCAGGATGACATCAAATCATTACTACTCATATTCTGAATACGATCTTCCATTATTTTGTGCTATTTTTCTTTTTAAAATATGAAATATTTCCAACATATAGAGTACAATGAAAAATACAATATGTACTCATGTCCCTACCACCTAGATTTAACAATTTTTAAAATATTTTGCCATGTGCTTCAGATCTGCTTATTTCAGAAAATAAAGTACTACCAATACAGCTGATGTTTTCCTTTGTACTTCACCTTGACGAGACACCACTACTGCTTATCCAATATCTATTTTCTCCTCCTTTGTCCTTACAAACACAATTCCAAATTGGTTTAGTGTGTGGCCAACTAAAAAATGCAACTGGCAGGATCCATGCAACATAGATCTGGCCAAAGAGAGAAAACATTAAGCCTGGAAATGTGTCCCTTCCCAAATATAAAGGCAAAGCCACATTAGGAAAAAGCCCTTTGCTTCCCACATTTTCCAGCCTTGAAGGTGAT